AGTAGGGACACAACAAATCATCTAAATGCGAATAGGCATTGCACCTAATACAATTAAAACGAAAACACATGATAATACGTCGTGCCGCACGTAACAAAAGTTGTCCTAAGACTGAAGAAACGACAGAAGATATAAAAAACGAATGCTCCGCTTTCTTGATAAAAATTGCATACAAAAGTATAAAATAGTAAGGGGAATTATATATATTACAGGATGATCATATTCAATGCCAACGCAGCGACATTGAGACGGTCAAGCCAAGAGCCATACGAACTCGAGGAATTCACCAACGAACCAGGGATACATTTTGAAAAAATAGGCCATCTACATTGTTCTAAAAGCACGTGGAAACTAGTAATAAAACTAGACCTAGCAACATTAACTGCGAAACAGGGTTACATACGAAATTATATAGAGCGTACAGAAAAAGCGTGCAATGTGTTAACGCAACAAAACACATGCCTTAATTTAGTTAGTATTACAAAACAAACACTAAACTATTTGGAAAAGACGACAATACAAATAACTACACTCTACGACAGACGTACAGACAAACGTAGGGGAATAATTGACGGGATAGGAACAGTAGCAAAAACATTGTTCGGTACCATGGACGCCGATGACGAAAAACGCATAAATGAACAACTAGAATTAATAAATAGCCGACAGAGCACGTTGCAACATACAGTTAGACATCAACTAACAATAATCAATGATACGGTAACACATATAAATAAGTTAGAGAATACAATAGAACAGAGTGAAAAACTCTTACAGGAAAATGTAGCGCAATATATTACGTTAGAAAAGATACAGGGGCAATATGAAATAATTATGGCAGCATTAACAGACTCCATTAGGGACGCAGAAAATATTATAGAATACTTAGCGCAAATCGAGGAAGGAAACATACATCCGAAATTAGTACCATTTGATAACATTGTTGCGCATTTAAAGGAAGCCGCAACACAGTTAGAACAGGGATATTATTTTCCGTTTAGAACACACGCAGTAAACTGGCATGAAATAAAAAAACATGCAAGCGTAAGTGCATACGTAAGCAAAGAATATAATTTATATACAATACTGCGGTTCCCGATAATATCACAGCCTAAATAAAACATAATAAAGGCAATTGAATTCCCCGTGGCAGCATACAATAAAACATTTAAAGGTATACAAGTAGAAAACGATATGTTTGCCATAGATAACCTTAGATTAACATATTTAATTATAACAAATGAGGATTTACAAAAATGTAGTAAAATAAACTCTAATTATATATGCGAACATAGCATGCCGACTTATCGCGTAAACATGAATATACCGTGCAAATTACAAATGTATACGCAACGAATGCAAGATAAGCATGAATGTAAGGTACGCTATCGGATAACGAAAACGACAGTATGGATCCCGTTACATCAAACACACACATGGTTGTACTCAACAGCTAAAGAAGAGAAAATAAATATAAAATGTGACGGATACACAGAAAAAAATTTAGTAATAAAAAATACCGGCCGACTAACCTCACGAGGAAACTGTCAAATTAAAACGGAGGATATGACATTAGAGACAAAAGAGACGACTTACGTAACGAACATAGACACATATTTACCGAATTTTAATATTGCACCGTCACAAGACGAGGACATGAGAATACTCGACACATTAAATAATCTAACACAACACAACGCAGAATTAATAGAATTACGAACAAAGATAAACAACATAGACAATGATTTACAAAATAATGAACAAAAGTTTTATACGAGGAAACAATTTATCTATCCCATGACCTCGAGCGGATTAATAATAATCATAATTATAATATTTGTCATTGTCATTGTAATTTGGAAAGTAAAAAATAGAAAAGACACTAAAAGAAGACCAAGAGTAACGATACTCGACGATGACTGGGATGTACCTAGATCCATACTAAAAAGAAGTAATAGTACGCGTTTTTAGGAAATAGGAAACGATTATAATTATATTGTGAACGGGATAAACATTTGTAAGCTTTAGTTGTAAGCGAAAAACTTCATACCTTCGTTTTTCTTTTTTAACGGGGGAGGGATGTTATATCCCCCAAAGATATAGATATAACTATTAAAAGGTAACTAGTATTAAGAAATGAGTACTCGTATTACATCCGCAATTACGACAGACACTGACCGCGTTAAAAAACGCATACGATGCGAGGTATACGCGGAATCAGAATTACGACAGATAATGACCGCGTTAAAAACGCATACAATGCGAGATATACGCGGAATCAGAATTACGACAGATAATGACCGCGTTAAAAGCGCATACAATGCGAGATATACGCGGAACAGAAATTGGTCAACGTGCAAGCAAAGCAGAAGGACTTTGAATCTGCTTCGCTTGCACCTAGATTCTCGACCGGGAAAACCTGTTGCCAGGCACCCCTTCCGATCGGGAAAACTTCAAAAACAACATTATAAAAAGAGAGTAGAGACGCGCCAACTCGCTCAGTCGCAGACACCAACAATCGCTCTAACCACGGTCTCGCTAACCGCGCGCGCACTTAGCATCGACTCGCAGTTGTGCACGATACGCGGAGTGATAGAAAGTCAGTGCCGCACACCCGGTAAAGCTTCAGTGTATTATTGGTGAAATAAATAAAGGCCAAGTGGTCGAATTTGAATAAAGATTTTTAATAAGAAAAGTGCAGTGCATTTTCTACAAACACCCGATAAGTCCTGACGCCCCGGATTCCCATCCCAATTTGGCGCGACCCCCTGGTGTCTCTCCCGAGGCACACAACAATATATACATATATAATATACATACACATATATATATATATATATATGTGTGTGTATTATACTGAAAAGAATTCTTAATTCTCGGCTGTCAAAAATTAGAAGACCAGATATTTTTCAACCGACATTCGTCAATTGATGTTTATTTAATTAATCACACAATGTTTCAACCACGGTGTTTCGATCATATAATTTTGGTCCTTCGCACACTTAACAGTAACACTTGAGAATAACAAAAATTATATGAAACGTTGTGTAATTAATTAAATAAATATTAATTAACCTATATATATATATATCGGTCGAAAAATATTCAGTCAATCAATTTTTTTTTAGATTTAATTATTAAAAATACAACATAAAAGTAACTTGGTTTATTTATTATAATGTGTATTCTTCAAAACGTTTAATTGCATTTTTAAATATTAAAATTATATATATGATATATATTTGTGATAGAAACAAACAGTGTTGATATTTTTCTATCGGTTCTTTTTTATAAATAGCATTAAAATCACAATTAAATCTTTATAAAAGTAAAAACATGTTAAGTGACATATATGTAGGATTGTTAATTCTATGCGTTATTAATCATATGTTATTATAATTTGATGTATACGCGCAATTAGATAATATAATATGCGAGTCTTTCGAGGATTCGGGTTTTCGTCAACTCGAATTCCTTTGTAGAAAAACAAGAGTGGAGACGGGATCAGCTGAGCGGCTGAGCGACTTGTAAGAGAGACGAGAGGCAGTCCGCTATAAGCCTCGAAAGGAGAAACAAATAGAATTACAAACCCTGATTCTCTAAATATTTGTGCAGAATATATCTTATCTCCAATACCGAATCCTACATATATAAGCAAAGTCGACATTGTTTGTAAATAAGCTTACGAAAAAATTGTTCTACAAAATATTAAAAAAACTTAATCTATACATACATACATACACATAAGCACATTAATGTTTATTAATTGCATATAGAATACACTTACAGAATTATGCAATATACATATTAGAATCAAAATTTGAAAAGTATAGATTTAATTACAAATTAAAATTGACTATTATATATTTTCTATTTTTGATTAAAGTATAAAAAAAGTGACATATATATACTCATGCTTTAAATTGTATACTTTAGAAAATTTATTAATTTGAAAAATGACTTGTGCAATCACATTGTTAACTATCATCAAAGTTTGCTGTTTGTTATCTAAATAAAATTAAATAGAAGAACTGTGGCGTCATCTTATCTGCATATAGATAATAAAAATTTATCTTATTATTATCTTATCTTATTATTATCGTATTATCTTTATATCTGCATCTTACAAGTAGATAAAAAAAAAGTACTACCTTTACTATATTATTTATCTAAAATAATATTCAAATAATTTTGGTTTAGAATCATAGTACATAAGAATACTTAAAGTAGACAGAAAAGCGATAAAAATTTATAAATAAAAATATAAATACATATATTGTTGTATCCGTTTTATAATTTATATTTTTGTATAACTGTGTTTACATAAACAGCCTTAAAAATTATTATCTAAACAATTATCTAAATAAATCGTCATATAATTATATCTTTTATCTAGATATACTTAAAACAAAATCATCTTTATCCTATCTAAGATGAATTTTCATACTTTTATCTCATCTTTATCCAGCTAATTTTAAAATAATCTTGACACAACACTAAATATCATTATCAAAAATTTATTACAATATTTTATGGTCGTATTTCAGATGGCCCTTTACGAAGAAAAAATATGAAAGTCTTAAGGAAGAAGAAAATGAAGAAAACATAAACTTTGTTACAATGGGCATAAATTTTGCGACACAATTGCGACATTATTTGTGTCTAATTCTTTTTCATGATTATTATTACAATAAAAAATCAAATCAAAATTATTTCAATGACTCAATTAATAATGTAGTATTGGAATTCGATGATGTAAAAAAATTCAGTGGTAATATCGATAAATATGCAAACCGTTTGAATGAAAATCTACTTGTTTTTAAACGTATGAATAAGCCTATAAATGTGCTGAAATATATGTTTTATATTGAGGAGATTAAATGCTTGTTAACACAATTTCCACAGTAGGATCTTCATATATATTATAATGCTACTATTATTACAATTTAATGTATTTATTCATTAATTAATAATTTAATATGTATAAATTTTTAGGAAAATTGACTGCAATTCAATCCAAGAATTTTGCAATATAGAAATGTCTCACTATGAGAAGCTATCTTTGATACGAAATGAGTTGGACAGATATAAAGTAAAACCTGAACGAGTTCAGCTATTGGAATTAGTTTGTACTTTCATAGCACAAGGTATTCAACCTCGAAAAGATGTATGTTACACGAATGTAAGTGCATCATTGGATACAACTGCACAAGAGGTATTGAATTGTCTCAAAGTAAAGCATCCGAACCATTCGATATTCTCCACGTCTCGTGAAATTTTTTCCTACTGGAAAAACAATAATATTGAAGATAATCATTGGAACAAAACAGAAAGTACGCAGATTATGGATACACTCCAGGAATACATATTTAGCATCTTGAACTTTCGAGCATGTATCTCCTCATTTGCACCCGAAGATATCAAATGGATTTGTATAGATTATGTAAGTTATTAGAGATTATAATATATATAATTATGGGCCATATATGTATATATTATATATTGTTCTTAATATTCTCTCGCTTTAATTAATTTGTTCTGTATTATACCTGGCACAGGTTTTACAAAGTAAATATGGTCAAGATATCATTGTATATGCAATATTTCATAGCGTGGTTAGAAGGCTTGGTCTACGTTGCGATGTACTACAGGTTTTTAATCGATTCTGTGTATTTTGGAAACCAGAATTGTAAGTATAGATATATATTAGAATCGACATTATCATTATTTCTCGATAATTTCTTTTTCTTAGTATACGCATACGTATATATATAATTTTTTTTTTTAATTTTCATATGATTAAGATAATATTTTAATTGTTTACAGCGTCACGAATAATTTCGAAAATGCACGATGTTTTTATATAAAAGACGAGAATTTCCCGAATTGTCTTCATGATTATCTATCAGATTGCAAGTCTTGTACACATCATGACGTCATCGAAATAAGAACTGAACAGATTGAAACTTATTTATTACTTCTATTAATTTTAGGTTATTAATATATATTTGTAAATTGACAAGGAATTAATAAATTACATTTTATGTGTATAGAAAGAAGAGAAATGTACATTTCTCATTTTTTAATTTATAATTAGATCCTTGTTTACATTTAATCTTTATTCATGTTTAATTAATTTTTTCAGATGTTGGACATGATAAAAGATTTTGTTGAATTGTTTATATCGGGACAAAATAAGCAATTTGGGATTAGTTCCAAAGTGAATTGTAATGTGTAAAAAACATACGCGCCCTAACATAATCGCTAGTTAGTGTATAACATATACCATTGTAAAAATAAAGAGCATTGTGAGATATTTTCAGATAACAATTATGTATAATTTACAATTTTCTATATTAGCTTGAATTAAGTGTTTATTGAGACATTTATTCACAAAAAATCAAAGTAAAAATTTTACAGTTTCTGTCTTATTTTAAATAGTAGAACACATAAATGAAAACGTGAAATATGCTGTGGAAATTATCATAATATATAATCCACCTACAGATCAATCTACAGATTCGGACCAACATAATAGATAATAGGATGTTATTGACATATACATATATACATACATGTTCGACAATTGAGAATCAACGATGAATAAAATATAGCTATTATCTTTCTGCGATATTTATTGTATTAATTATCATAAATAATAAAGTAAGAAAATTTTGTGACTGCAACAATTTGAATTGGTGCAAAAAAATTAATAAATCTTAAAATAAAAAAATTAATTAATTTAATAACTTTTTTTAACACTTTAAGTATATGCAAAATATGACGTAATAAATTTGCCATTTATTAATATCTATTATTGTGAAAAGTATATAATCAATAGTGTGTTGCATTTGTATAAGTAGGCATTTGTATGAATAGGTATGTTAATAAAAGACAATGATTTTTATATTTTCAAATATACATAATTTTTTTGTATTGAAGGAGACGATAAATGAGCTTATAAATGATATTAAATTTTGTATGATATTAGTATAATTTCAGATTTATTGCAAATTCATGCAAATCTAAAATTGCTGTGCAAAAATTTGTCAAATTTTGTATTTTGAACAAAAAATAAACGTCACGCGTTAGGTAAAAGTATTTTTTCATTTTTGTTCCAAACTCATTATTTGCGATCCATATTTCTCTCTTATCCATGATTTTCACAAAATTAGTAAAACTCCAAATTAAAATGAACAGTCGACACAATGCACAGCACTGCAATTGTAAAGTGTAAAAATAAATATATGAAAATTAGTAAATTTTAATAAAATAATTAATAATTTAAATATTATTTTCATTAAACTTAAATATTACATAATATATATAAATACATGAAAATTAGTAAAATTTAAAATAATTGACAAATTTGAAAAATATATTATTTTAATTAAGCTTAAATAATAAAAAGAACAATAAATAAAAATAGTAATAATAAAATAAATAATAAATGAATTATTTACCACGTTCTATTATTCAAGTGCATAAGAAGAAATGTTAAATTTGCTAGTTCTAAATTACATTTTCTGCGCATGCCGTGCCAAGTCCTTATATACCTGTATCTTAGTGAAAATTAGTAATACTTTAAAATTTGAGGTCAAATTTAATAATAAAGAGCAAAACGTCTGCAGTGTAGAAAACATCTCTCGTGTACATCAAACACACATCTGTGCTCTTTGTAATCGGCAGACGCATTTCGTGTACTGCGAAAAGCAAGAGATTAATTACGCGAATAGTTTATTGCAATCAATTAATTTATATTCCTTTTTTGTGTTTTGTTTCTCATAATGTCTGATTATAAGATAACGTGCTTACCAGAAGAGATGATAGCCACATACTCAACGATAATGTATCACTATTGAAGATATCATCAACTTTCGATGCGTGTGCAAGCAATTTCGTTATGCAGCCAAATATGACAAGTTCTTGGAAAAAAAGTTATCTCAAAGGTAATTCTTGTAGTTTGTAAATCTTTTTGTTATTTTGTCTCATTAACGCCTGTCGCACAATGTACATTACTTCTGCGAAGAACGTATATCATAAATATAAAATAAATAAAAAATATTGAAAATATAGTGTAAAAAAATAAAAATTTAAATAATATAAAAACAGATAGAGAAAAATAGATTATATATATGTATAAAAGAAAACAAAACGCACAAATTTTATTCTTTATACTGATTCAATTAGTAAATTTATTTATTTATAGTTTATAGTAATTAAAAGTAATCTAATTTTTTAGATCTTTTAGTTCACATTAGCACATTGGCTTAAGAATTTTATTGCATTATTTATAAGAATATAATATAATATGTAATATAATATATAATATAATTATATATAACATAGATAGATAGATAGATATGTTTATTGTTTCTCCAACTACAGATTACAAGGCGCTTTTTTCTTGTTTAAAGGAGCGGTCCCAAACCTTTACACCTCCATTTACATTCCACCTTAACCTATATCTTAATCCTATAACTTAAATCTAATTAACTTAATCTATACAATCATATATACATTCATATATATCGTCATAACAAAAAAAAAGAAAAAGAAAAAAATCGCAACGCCGCTCGCTTCGCCGTCTACCGTACCTTTCCTCGCTTTTCCACCCTACCTACTTCCTGCCTGCTCTTACACACACCCGACCCTTTTATCCTAGTCTTTCTTATTCTACGTTTTCTTATATCCTATTTTCGCCATCTTATATACTCCTTAACCTAAGTGGGACCTCCGCTTCCGGTTACTGTTACCCATCACTTCTTTCACTCTTCTCTCTCTCTCCCTCTCGCTCTCTCTCCCTCTCTCTCTCACTCCTTTCTCTCCCTTCTTTCACACACACCTTCTCCCTCTCTCTCTTCCCTTATCTCTTACCCTCTCTCATCTCCTTCTCTTCCTTTTCCATCCTTCCCATCTTCCCCTTCCCCCTCCCCTCTTGCTTTCTCTAACATTTTTAGCCACGTTTCCCCTTCTCCCTCCTCTCCTAACACCTCCTTCACCATTTCCTGCCAACTCTCTTCCCTTCCCCATTCCATGCAATCCTCCCACACATGCTTCCACGTTTCCAACCCTCTCCCACACATTCTGCACTTCCTCTCCTCCTCTTTTTTCCAGTATCTATTTCCCCTTATCCCATTCCCCAATCTATACCTTGCTATTCTCCTCCACCTGTCTTCCGTCCACCCTTTCTTTAGATAGCCCGGTATTCCCTCCCCTTTGACCTGCTTGTACCATCTATTGTATTCCGACTTTTCTATTTTTTCTATCCTCTCTTCCCTCTGCTCCTTTCTTTCCCAGTCCTCAACTTCTGCCCATCTGAACTCCTCTTTTTCTCTTCTTTCCTCTATCTCCCTTATTTCCATCCCCTTACCCTCAAAGAAATTCCTCCTTCCCCTCTCCCAATCTGACAATACCCCTCCTTTTTTTGCCCTTTCTTTGATCTCCCCCAAACATACTTTTGCCAGCCACCCTCCCTTACCCTCCTCTAGTCTCTTCTCATATCCCCACGCCTTTATTCCCATCCTTGTCCTTATCTTTTCCCTCTGCATCTCCTCCCTTACCATATAACCAGGCGTTCCCCAATCTACTCCTAATATCCATCTCAAATACCTTTCTTGTAACCTCTCCATCCCCTCTCTCTCTCTTCCCATCCCCATATCTCCACCCCATATCCTAAAACCGTCCATATTAATGCATCAAATAGCCATATCCTCCTCCCCCAATTACTACCAAATCTCCTTTTACCTATCCCCTATACTTGTCCCATAGCTACTGCCCCTCTGTTTATCCTGTCCTTTACCTGTCCTTCTTGCCTCCCATTCCTTTGTATTATATATCCTAATTACTTATACTCCTTAACCTCCTCTAATTTTTTACCTTTCCAGACCCAGCTAGCCTTTTTTAACCTCCCTCCACCTTTCCTGCACCTCATCACCTTCGACTTCCTCTCATTCACTTCCAGTCCCTTTTCCTCTAGATATCTCCCTAACCTTTCCATCATGCACCTCATCCCCCCCTCATCCTCTGCCATCAATACCACGTCATCCGCGTACGCTAACGTGTAGACCTTGCCCTCTCCTAGCCTCACTCCTCCCCATCTCCCTTTCCTCATCTCCTCCTCCATGTCCGCCATCAACATATTAGAGAGAAAAGGACTCAGAGGGCATCCTTGTCTCACCCCCCTCCCCGTCCAAAACTTCTCCCCCACCTCTTCCCCTATTCTAACCCTGAATCCTATTTCTCCTAACACTTCCTCACATCTCCTCACCGTCTCTTCCTTCACTCCCCTCCCTCTTAACGCTGTCATCAACTTCATCCTGTCCACCGAATCAAACGCTGCTCTCAGGTCCACAAAGAATAGTACTATTTGTCTTCCTTTCCTGCTTATTTGCCTGTTTATCAAATAATTCAGAACATAGATATTATCTACCGTTCCCATCCCTTTCCTGAACCCAGTTTGATTCGGTGGTAACATCCCTCCTTCCTCCACCTCCCCCATCAATCTCTCCGCTAACACCGACGCATACACTTTGTATAATGACGGTGTCAACGTTACCCCCCTATACTCTGAAACCTCCCTTCCCTCTCCCCTCTTCAAAATTGGCACCATCAGCCCCTCACTCCATTCCCCAATCCACCCTTCCCCCTTCCATATCCTATTGCATATCTCCCATACCCACTTCTCAATTCCCTCCCCTCCATATTTCCACACTTCTCCCGGTATCCCATCCACCCCCACCGCGCCTTTCTTTCCTTTAACCTGCCTATCGCCCTCCTAATTTCTCCCTTTTCTATCTGGTCTTCTTCCCTCCCCTTCTCCATCCTATTTCCTCTCATTACTACTCTCGATTCTACCCCCCCTAATAACTCCCTAAAATATCTGTTCCACTCTTCTATCTCAATCCCTCCTCCCATTCCTCCTTTGCCTTTCCCCCTTTCCCTCCTAACCACCTCCCATACCTGTCCCTCCGTCCTTGCTTCCATTGCCTTCCTCGTCCACTCCACATTATCCTCCTCTTTCTTCTTCCTACATAATCTCTTGTACTCTTTTTTTCTTTTTCTGTATTCTTCCCCTTTCCCCCCTATCCTCTTCCACCTTTTCAATTCCTTTGCCACCTCCCCCTTCTCTCTTCTACACTCCCCGTCAAACCACCCTCTCTTTTTCTCTCTCCTCTCCTTTCCTTCCCCCTCTTTCCCCTTGTCTAGCACTTCCTGTATCTTCCTTTTCTTCTCTTCCCACTCCCCCTCCACCCCTTTCTCTTCTTGTTCGTCCCTTTGCTTCTCCCATATTTCCCCTATCCTCTCCCTAAATTTCTCCTTCCCCTCCTTCGTCCAGCTCCATCTCCTTTTCCTCTTTATCCCTTTTCCTTCCCCTCCTCCTCCTTTCCCTCTGATCCATATTACCACCGGCATGTGGTCCGAGTCCACCCTGTCTCCTATTTCTAACTTCGTAATTTCCTCTCTAACTTTCTCATTCCCTATCACGTAATCAATTACCGATCTCCCCTTCGGCCCCATATACGTCCACCCCCCTTCCTCATCTCCTGTTACTCCTCCATTCATTATCGCCCACCCCCTCTCCTTCAACTTTTCCACCAATCTTCTCCCTTCCCCATTTACCTTTGTATCCTTTGATTTTCTCCCCTTTCCCTCTTCTCCCTCATCCTCCCCCATCACTATTCCTCCCCCTAAATTTCCCGTTCTTGCATTGAAATCCCCCCCTATTATCGTTCTGACCCTGTCTCCCTCTTCCTCCATCCACTCGTTCATCTCCTCTAGTTTCTCCTCCAAATCTCCGTTAATGTACACTCCCACCAACCTCCATCTCTCCCCCTCTCTTTCTATCATCACCTCCAGCATTCCCCCTTTATCCGTTCTACCCTTTCCTTCTATTCTTATCCCTTTTCTCACCCCCGTTATAATTCCACCCATTGCCCTTCCTTTCCTACTCTTCCTCTTCGCATATTGCACCTCCCACTTAAATCCTCCCGGCATCCTCCCTTTTAATTTTTCCCATCCTTTTTCATCCACCCATGTCTCTAGGAAAAACATTACATCCCATTCCCCTATTGTTTCCCAGAAATCCGCGTCCTTATTTTTTAGACCCGCTACATTCCAATATGCCACCTTCCATCCTTCCCCCCCTCCTCCTTTCTCTTTTCCTTCTTTCCCGCCTCTTTCTATCTCTTTACCTCTCCCCTCTCTCCCTTTCTCTTTTTCACCCTTCCTTTCCCATTCTTTCCTTCCCCCCCTTTCCCGTCTCCTGTGTTGTCTCCATCTCCTTTCCTTTTATTTCCCCCCCCTGGTCTCTTCCCTCCTCTCATCCCCTTCTCCCTCTTCTCTATTTCTTCTTTTATCTCGTCCCACCTCCATTATTTACCCTTCATCCAAATTCTCCCATATCTTACCCATGCTCTCCTTCCCTCTCTCTCTTCCCCTCTTGCCATCTCTCCTAATCTCCACATCATCCTTCTTTCCTTCCACGTTAGATCCTCCTCAATCCTCTCCCCCCTTCCTCTCAATCTTCTTTTTTTTTTCCATTATTTCCCTTTTAACTCCCATATCGCCCACCCTTACTAATACTGTACTTGTCCCGTCCCTTCTCTCTTCCCCTATTCTCCTCACTTCCTCTACTTGCCCCCCTACCCATATCCCCTTTAGTAAACTCTCTACCTCCCCTTTCACCCCCCCCTTCTCCTACCTTAACTCCTTTAATTATAACATTCCTTCTCTTTTCTTCCCTTTCTTTTCTTTCCCATTTCCATTCCATCTTATTAATCCTATCTTCCATCCCCTTAATCTCCTCTCCCTTCTCCTCTTTTCCTCTCCCCTCCTTCTTTCCCATCTCTAATTCTTTCATTTTTTCCCCCATCTCCTTAATCCTTTCCATAAACTCCTCTCTTTCCCTCCCCCATCTTTTCTCCCTCTCCTCCATTTCCTTCTTTAACCCTCTTACCTCTTCTCTTATTTCTTCCTGTCCTCTTATTCCCTCCTTGATCTCTTCTCTAATCTCTCTTCTTATCTCCCTCATTTCCTGTATTATCTCTTCCTTCCATTCCCTCCCCATCTCTTTTATCGTCTCCCCTATCCCTCCTGCCTCCTCTCTCCTTTCTACCTCTGGCGATCTTATCACCTTTTTGCTTCTCCTAAACGCCCAATCTAAATCCCCTATCTCCTCTCTCTCCTTTCTTAATCCTATTTCCTCTAATTCCTCCCTTTTCCTTTTCAACACCTCTTCTGCCGTCCCTGTGCTCCCTCTTCTCTCCCATTTTTCCGCCTTCTTTATTCTTTCTATCTCCTCCATTTCTTTTCTTTCCATCTCTCTTCTATATCTCCTATACTCTATGCCTGATAATTTCCCCTATACCAACGATTCGTTCCTCTGCTACTAGTAACTTTTTCCGGACCTACACCTGTCCCCTTTCTCTCCACTCTTTCTACACCTGCTCTCCCCCTTCCTATTTCCTTCCTATCCCCTCGTTCCCCTTACCTATCTTCCTAAACGCTGACTCACTCTTCCTGCCTCACTTCTCTTCCTTCTCACTGCTCTGTTCCCTTCTCACCCCACTTGCTTGCACTCCCCTTGCATTCCCTGTCTCCAGCCTCTCATTCTCTCTCTCTCTCTCCCCCTTTCTCTCCCTCACACCTCTAATACTTCACTTAGAATCACACACCGACAATCCTTCAACCTTCTACCACGCAACCGGAAACGGAAGTCTCTAATTATATATAACATACATAGTATATTTAAAAAATGTATATATTAGAAAAATTAGATATGTAAAATTTATGTTGCATATTAAATTACTGTACTTTCATTGAATCACTCAAATTTTAATCTTTTATTTTATTATCGTATTTTATTTTACTTAATTATTTCTTTTATTGCTCAATAATAAATTTGACAAACTCTACTGTTATATATACATATATATATATATGTGTATATATAATAAACATCAAATAATATACTGATAAGAATTCATAATTTTCAACTGTCAAAATTAAAAGACCAAATATTTTTCGACCGATACTTGCCAATTGATGTTTGTCTAATTAATCACACATCGTTTTGACCACGGTGTTTCGACCATAATTTTGGTCCATCGCACACTTGACAGTACACTTGAGAACGACAGAAATTCTATAAAACGTTGTGTGATTAATTAAATAAACATTAATTGGCCTGTATCGGTCGACAAAGATTTAGTCATTAAATAATTTCTTTTAGATTTTTAATTACTAAAAATGTAACGTAAAATTAACTTTACTTATTTATTTTAATGTGTATTCTTCAATATATTTAATTGTATTTCAAAAATAATAATTATATTTTTGATATATATTCGTGGTTAAAACAAACAGGATTGATATTTTTTATCGGTTTTTTAAATAAATAACACTATGAAATCATAATAAAATCTTCATAAAAGTAAAAGCATGCCAAGTAACATTTATAAACATAGTCAACATTGTATGTAAATATGCTTTCGGAAAAATTGTTCTAAAAATAATTAAAAAAAAATTTTAATATATACACACACGCACATTAATGTTTATTAATAGCATGTAGAATACACATATAGAATTACGCAATATACATATTACAGTCAAAATTTGTAAATATAATTTTAATATACTTTTAGGAATATGTAGTTCAAAAATAAATATTTACATAAATAATTACAAATTTAAATTGAATATTATATATTTTATTTTTCTGATTAAAATATAAAAAGAAGTGACATATATGTACTTATGCTTTGAATTGTATACTTCAAAAAATTTATTAATTTGAAAAATGACTTGTGCAATCACATTGTTTACTATCATCAAAGTTTGCTGTTTGCTCTCTAAATAAAATTAAATAGAAAAACTGTGGCGTCATTTTATCTGCATATAGATAATAAAAATATGTATTATCTTTATATCTGCATCTTACAAGTAGATAAAAAAAAAGTACTACCTTTACTATATTATTTATCTAAAATAATATTCAAATAATTTTGGTTTAGAATCATAGCACATAAAAATACTTAAAATAGACAGTAAAACGATAAAATTTATAAATAAAAATATGAATACATATATTGTTGTATCCCTTTTATAATTTATATTTTTTGTATAACTGTGTTTACATAAGCAGTATTAAAAATTATTATCTAAAAATTTATTTACATAAATCTTCATATAATTTTATCTTTCATTAGATATACTTTCAAACATACTTAAAACAAAATTATCTTCATCTTATCTAAAACAAATTTACATATTTTTATCTCGTTTTTATCTAGTTTATTTAAAATTAATCTTAACACAACATTGTATCTATATCAAAAATTTATTACAGTATTTTATGGTCGTGTTTTAGATGGCCTATTACAAAGAGAAGATATGAAAATCTTAATACAACAAAGGGTGGAGGAAACATAAACTTTGTCACAAAAAACATAAATTCTGCGATACAATTGCAAAATTATTTGTCTCAAATTCTTTTTTACCATTATTTTTACAATAATAGATCAAACAAAAATTATTTCAATGGCTCCATCAATAATATATTGAAATTCGATAATGTAATAAAATTCTCGGGTAACATCAATGTATATGTAAAGCGTTTGCATAAAAATATACTTTTTCTTGAGCCTACAGATAAGCTTATAGATGAGCTGAAATATATGTTTTATATTGAGGAAATTAAATGCTTGTTCACGCCATTTCCCCAGTAGGATCTTCATATATATTATAATGCTACTATTATTACAATTTAATGTATTTATTCATTAGTTAATAATTCATTATATATAAATTTTTTAGAGGAATTGATCGCAAATCAATCGAAAGATATTGCAATATAGAAATGTCTCACTATGAAAAGCTATCCTCAATAGGAAATGAGTTGGACAGATATAGAGAGAAACCTGAAAGAGAACAGCTTTTGGAAAAAATTTGTACTTTTGTGGCAAAATATATTCAAATTCGAGAAGATGTATGTTACACGAATGTAAGTGCATCATTGGATACAATCGCACAAGAGGTACTGAATTGTCTCTTATTTGGCCTCGCTATTGTATATTTTGGAGACCAAAATTGTAAGTATAGATACATTAGATTCGACATTATCATCATTTTTCGGTAATCTTTCTTTTCTTCTTATACGCATACATATATAATTTTTATTATAAATATTTTCATAAGGATTAAAATAATATTTTAATTGTTTACAGCGTCACAAGTAGTTTAAAAAATGCACGATGCTTTCACATAAAAGACGAGAATTTCCCGAATTGTCTTATATATCATATATCAGTGTACAGGATACAAACAAATTGCTTTCGCGACCTCGCAATAACAACTAAAAAGGTTGAAAATTATTTATTTATTATTTATATTAATTTTAAGTTTATAATATACTTGTAAATTTACAAAGAATCAATAAATTACAATAAATATGTATAGGATGAAGAGAAATGTACTGTCTCTCATTTTTTAATTTATATAATAAGATCTTTGTTTACATTTAATCTTTGTTCATGTTTAATTTGCTTTTTTAGATGTTGTTGATATTAAAAAATTTCGTTGAAAAGTTTATAATGAATCATGAAATAACAGATTTGGGATTAGTCAAAGTAAAATGTATAATTTAAACAGAAAACGGATCATGAATTGTATTATATAATATATATACAATTGTAAAAATATATTGAACTTTGTGATGCTTTTAGATAACAATTATGTATAATTTACAATTTTTTATAATTTAACGTGTTTAAGTGTTTAGTGAGACATTTATTCACTATATGTATATAGAAAGAAGAGAAATGTAGAATCTCTCATTTTTTAATTTATAATTAGATCTTTGTTTATATGTCGTCTTTATTCATGTTTAATTAATTTTTTAGATGTTGGTGTTAACAAAAAATACCGTTATAGATTTTATAGCGGAACATAAAATAAAAGCTTTGCGATTAATTCAAATTAATTGTAATAGATAG